CCACAGACAGCGGTCTGGACGAAACGCCTCAATTCGTAGCCGCCGCGCGCACCAGTGAACGCGTGCTGGCCTTCTCGCAGGAGTCGCTGCCGCGCCTGCGCGCGTCCGGGAGCGGCTGGGAGGAACCCTCCGCGCCTCCCCAGAACGGCACCCTGCTGCCCCAGAGCGGCACGGAGTCCGAAAGCCGCACGGTCGCTCAAAGCGGTGCGGTGCCCCAAAACGGCGCGGTGCCAATTTCCGTGGCTATTGACCGGTTGCTTTCAATGGACTCGGACTTTGAACTCAGTTCCTCCTCGGACGTTAACTGGACGCCGACCAAGCGAAGGAACACTCCTCCTTAAAGATCACAAGTCGTTCACGTACGAAAGTCGTTCTCGTGCGCAGGCAAGCTCTTGCCCGTGGACATGGATGGGAGGGACTCGGTGGGAAGGAATGAAAATGGAACGGAGTAGAAGCTGGACATGAGACCAGGCAGGCGCGCCGGGTGGGGGCTTTTTATTCGGCGATGAATGGCCAGCATTGTTTAAGAGTAGTGAGGTAGGCGGGGGTGCATTGTGCGAGTAGTGTTGTGGTAGTTTATTCGCTGGTATTGGGGGCCTGACGTGTGCGTTAGATGAACTGGGTCTGAGAACGGAGTTGGTGTGTATGTTGGATATATCTCGAGAGTGCCGGATGGCTTGGTTGGAGGCGAAGGGTCGGGGGTGCATGCCTGGGGAGTTGAAAGCCTTGGAATCGAAGTACATGGTGAAGGATATAATGACTGTGGACTTTGGGGGCATAGGTGACGCGGATATCTGGCTGATATCCCCGCCTTGTCAACCGTTTACGAAAGGTGGGAAGGAGTTGCACGAAGAGGATGCGCGTGCGCAACCATTCTTGCGAGTGATAGAAGTATTGCAAGACAAACAGCCTCCGTTCGTGTTCATCGAGAACGTACCAGGGTTCGGCGCTAGTGACAGCTACACCCGGTTCAGAAAGGCAATGGAGGCCAACTACGACCTATTTGAGTACTACCAGTCTCCCACTGACATTGGCATTCCTTACGAGCGCAGTCGGTTCTACTGCGTCGCTCGACGACGAGATCTAGGCAAGGCGGACCGAACAGGGGCGAACCAAACAGGAACGAACCAAACAGGAACGAACCAAACAGGAACGAACCAAACAGGGACAGTCCAGACGAGGACGGGTAGGAAACATAAGCCTTTGAGTGCGTATGTGGATCGAAATGTCCAGGACGAGAAGTACTTTATTCCGCCGAGCAAATTGGCGAAAATGGAGAACTTCAAATTTGACCTGGTCGACTTGGATTTCTTGGAAAGTCGAGGACCCGTGGGGACGTTTACGGGTGGCTACGGAGAGTACCTGGGCAAGACGGGACCGGTCATGCGAATGGGGCCCATGTCCGGGAAGGAAGGCGCGGGGGACCGCTTTCAAACGGTGAACGCACAGGTTGACCGGGTGCGCCGTTTCACCCCGAATGAGATATTAGCGCTCCACGGGTTCCCGAAAGAGTGGTATTTTGACGCGGATTCTCCCTTCTCTTTGCGGCTCCAATATAAGCTAGTGGGTAACTCCGTTTCGTAAGTCCACATGTGCTTGTATGTGTATACAACTGTGCCATTACATTACCTGCATGGCGAGGACGGGATAGGGCAAGGATGGTGCGGGGAGGATCATCTTTGCTTGTAGGGTGGACGTTATTGCCGATATATTACGGCCATTTTTAGTCACAGAGAAAATGGACGAAGGAAAGTCGGGTGAGGTCTTGAATGCGGACCAACTCAAGCAGTACGATCGCCAAATAAGGCTGTGGGGTTACGATGCGCAAGTAAAGTAAGTAGTTGGGTCTGAACGAGTTAGTTGCCGACCGGGCTCAGCTCATGGTTGGTCACTGGAGCCACCTGGGTTTGGGGTTACCGGGTCGAGTGCGGGGAACAAGTTATTGATGTAGGATGATGTCAAACCGAGTGTGCTTGATGGGCGTGGACGGGGTGACGATGGAGGTGGGGAAGAACTTGGCGGCAGCTGGAGTGAATGTGGATTTATTTGACGACGTTCCGTACGAGGGTCAACTGGTGTCTGTGATTCCTCGTGAGAACATGTTTGCGCCGGAAAAGAGCGTGGCTGTGTGGTACGAGAAGTGCTTGCGACGGATGAACGCTCTGGTGGGTCTTGGGGTGTTCTCGGAGGTCCCTGAACGGTCCACCATTCTAGTTAGTAGTTTGTCCCGTGCTGCCAGTTGGACACAGGCAATTACGTCCATAAAACGCGCGCCGGTCGCCCAGATATACGTCGTTACTGAGACTGAAGTGCTTGTGGGAATAGGTGACCCTCTGCATGTTGTGCGCAGTCTGCAGGAGAAGGTGCGTGGTCGGGAATCGGACATACTCTCTCCTTCGGAATGTGCCATCATTGGCGGACTCATAACACAGTGCGTCACTACGCACATCCAACAGAATGAAACCCCCGACTGGGACCTGATTGAATACAATCGGTCTAAGATCGCCGCCAAAACCCTGTTGCTTAACGAACGAACTAACGCTGCCGCAGGCGCTCCCGCAAAAATAAATCAAGAAATCATAGAACTCTGAAACCATTGGTAAGAAATCATGGGACTATCAACCGTGACTAATTGCATGGGTATGGTAGCGCACTCGGTATGGGTGCGCTAATTGCACAAACTCTTTTAGCAAGAATCGACTTCACACGTTCCGTCCACATTTTCGTGGTATTGTTCTTGGTTGGTGTTGAGTAAGTCGTGTGCGTGTGCGAACACATCTCGCGTATCCAATTGATTCAAGCTCTTTACTTGACAGCAGCTCATGAATGCCTTGGCCGGAATAAAAGCCTCGCCGGTAGATTTGTTGGTCTGACTATCGGGGCGGTACATCAAAGCGCGGGAGCCGTACTATAAACTGCGGGAGCATGCGTGCAGTAGCCAAATCGTGTCTCCTCGGTACTCAAGAGAGCGGCAGAATTCTCCGTAGCATTGATATCCACTCGGCGACCTTCGGTTGACGTACAGTGAGTGTCAACATTATCACAACACAATCATCAAACCATCGGTTGCAACCCCTCGTAGCAGAGCAACGCCATTCCACGACGCTGGAATGTGGCAAGATGCGGTTGATACTTGAGATAAGCAACGCGACAGAAACAGTCCCGGGGGGAAGCCTCAAAAGGGGGAAGCCTCAAAAGGGGGAAGCGCTTGTTATTGAAGTTATCGCAGCTCCATGAAGAATTCGGGTTGACAGGAAATTGGTTCTTTACCTGGGGTCGCTTCCTTACCTGACTTCTTGTGTCGCACTTAAGGGCGCAATTATCGACCGAAGATTTCATTCCATTTGGTTCACCCATCTGATCCATCTGACACCAAGCCTACTTTACTCGTTAAAGCCTCCCATCCTCTGTATGGTCTGCCTCCAGCACATTTTTAAGGGCGTTTGCGTACAACGAACTCAACTGCCGACAATCATAACTGCACCATTCGGTCTCGTAGATTTCGGCATTAGTTTTGAACGGAGTCATGCGTTCAAACGCATCTCGCACACGCACTCCATAATGAAGTGACGCCACCATCCGCGAAACATTTTCCACCTTGTCACGGATGCGACAGGCGAGAGTTCCTAAATCACAGAAATCGGATGCGTCAGCACAGTCGAAACCCCGCATTAAGCAGCTGCCAACGAGAGGGTAGCGGTCATCCAGTATGCTCTGGAAATCCTCAACGGTCGCTTCGCTCGAGTAGGAGGGTCGATACGAAGGAAAGAAACGCAAGCGTCGGTGGACCTCCTCCCACGTATGGCGCGCCATTTCAGTTTCATTATCGCAGCGTACAACGCAATCTTGGTCGTTCCCAATCGCATTCCTCACCGCAAAGGCGTCGTACGTCCATGGACCGCCAAAATGATGGCACGTGCGAGTCATGTTAGCGTCACGTGTTCCGCACAGCAATTGCCCACTGTGAGCCTCACACGGATATGATCCTAACACCCGATTCATAATGGGCCAGCTGCCATCCATGTAGCCCGATGAGTTGAGCGCCTCCTGACATTCCGACTTCATGGTTCGGAGCCCGTCCAACGCCTGTCTGCTCAATGGAACGTTAAACTGACTCCCATACCATGGGATCGTTTCTGCCTCGCTCATGGCGGTGTGGTCCGTGCTTGGAGTACTCGAGCTCTCCAACATTCGTTTAGCTGCTGTCCCATCGACCAAGGAAGAACCGTATTCAGATGACACCCAGTGCCATATCCCCCATACAGATAATCCACCAAGTAAGGCAGCACTGACAGAAAGAGCCAGGCGACAACGATTCGTGATACATGGCTTCGGCATACATTGTGTCGAACAGCAAGACCGACCAGCCTCGACATCTGAACCGTTACCTAAATCGGGTGGGACGTCAAACCCCCTGTATCGACGTAACAACGACAGCCACTCTTCTGACAGTGTATCTGAGAAAGCGCGAAGGTCTTCGAGCTCCTCACGCGTCAGGGGTCTGCAGGTCGCGACCTTCAATTGCTCATTATCCAGGTCTTCGTACGCCTTCTTCTGTATCTCTCGCAACTCCGACATCGACCGACCCGCGCTCTCGTGACATATTCGTTCGGTGACTTCGGAGAACTTATTCCCCGGGTCGACGTGTTGTAAGTACTCCCTAAGCTCACTCATGGCCATACCCTCGGCCAGACCATAGGTCTCACGATCGGAACGGACCATTAAAATGCGGGAGCATGCGCGGAGCCAGCCAAATCGTCTCCCCTCCTCAGCCAATGGAGTCTCTTCATCCGAGTCAGCCGTACCCACTTGGTTGTCTCTGATTAACTTGGTCAAGGGGTCTTTAGGCGCCGCAATGATAAATTGCACAATCCGATTTCTCTCTGTTATCGGACGTCTCACTCTCTTCGGCACAGCCAGTGTCAACATGGCCACAACACAGTCATCAACCGCCGGCTGGACCCCCTCGGAGTTCATGAGCCATGCGAGAAGTTCCCCGGCGCCAACACCCTTCGATTCGCAACACGCCATTGTCTTCATTTTCGATCCAAAAATTTTGGATCGGCGTGATTCGACGAAGTGGGATTACACGACCAGTGGCGGGTGCAAAGTTGGCACAAGGCCGGGAGGGCATGACACCGGCACGGAAACGGAGGACCAGGACATGGGGGAGGGAGAATATCAAAGAGCGAAGAGTAGCCCTCCAGTCCTTTCAACTTGCCCTTCTCACAGCCGACCGCATATGTGGTCCCTCTGTACCAGGGCACCTGTGGAAAGGCACGATGAGTGATATGTACTTCAATGAATAATTCCGTTTCAAGAATAGTTGCCTCAAAACGGTTCTGTGGAAGTGACGTGCTTATCACAAGACCCCATCTTAGTACCGTCCTTG